CTTACGGACCGTTTCTAATGCCGCGTCTAATGGCTCCTCATTTGCGCTTTCATTCAAATGTATATTTGTTTTCATAAACGAATCGGTTTTGTTGTCAAAGCCTTTCTATTTGTTAAATAAAACTCTTAAAACTTTTTAATTGAGACTCAATTCATGTCAAAACGCATTTCCAAATCGCGTCTAATCGCAGCACAACTTTGACCACAATTCTGGTCAATAATTATCTGCACTTTTGTCACAAATATTACATAAAATCGTAGGAATAACTCGAAAGAAACGATTTCTTGTGCCCAACAATGACTACAACTGTTTTCGCAATTACAGTTATATCTGCTTTGAAATGACTTTAAATCGATAGAGTTTAGTATAATTTAAGTAATTGTAATAATGACATCATCACTAGTACTTTGAGGGTTTCAAGGCTTAGGCCTCTCAACATCCATAACATTGTGAAATACTATATTAGACAATATGGCAACGCATTGGCCACAAAAGTATCGGCCTTTCGATCCCTTTTCGTAAATCTCTTCATTTTTAGTGTAGAATTTGTGTGAATACAAGACAAACACTTTTGTATCTGTGTTTCAACTCATTCACGACAATCGCCACTAATTTGCGATCAAATAGTTGTCGTATTTCGCATCCTATGAACACATGTTAATCCGACTCAATCTCTCGGTTCTGTAATCTCTGTGTTCTCCACAATTCATTTTGAGATCATGAAAGTCAATGAAACAAGGATTGCAAGCGTTTGAGTAAAAAGTGTTCAAAGAGTCGTGGAATTGTGTTTGAAATACATCTGTGTTGAAGTCAATGAACATTACTGTATTCTCATAGATCTAACATTGTTCGCATTGTCATAAGAATCGCGACATTCCGTTACAAACTAAACATTATTTATTTGTGTAATTAGTGTGAAATGTTCAATTAATAATTGCCCTTTGCGAGAGTCATAGAGTTAACATTGCCTTTAAGATTACCCATTGGATAACATTAGCTCAATGTTAGAGCATAGCAAAGTACACTAATCTAGTGTACAGGACTATGCGTGTTATTCGCCATAGAGGGGAAAGGAGGCGCATAATCAACATGAACACTGAATTGTAAAAATGATTACATATTAATGATTGCCTATAAATGACTAAATACTGTATTTCTTTGTGTAAGAAATCAAGTTTCCGAACCTTTGCTTAACATTGCATTGATTTTTGTGATTCACGAAATATGTGAGCGTTTGTTAAGCGCCCAAATAGTCGCGACATTCATTGCAAAACTATTGAAGAGACCATTTAATCAACATCTTTGAGAAAGTGTGGCATTCATTGTGACACAAAAGACATTCGTTTACTACTCAACAAAATTAATTAATAATTTACATAATTCTCGAATTCCCTTAAAACGAGTTTCAAATTGTCATAACTCTCAAAGAAAACAAAACAAGGCTCACATCCATGCTATACGTTAACTACTATTCGGGAAATGCATCAAACATTTCAAGTTTCTCAATCCTATTGTTTGCATGCTTTCAATATTTTCAGTATTTTAAATATTTAACCACAATTCAGCATTGAATAATGTGGTTTATAGGATCGTTCGGCTACCCCTCCCCTCTATGGGATTTAACATGGGATTACAGCTTAAGTCTATGGCTATACTTTAACATGGGTAATGCTAAGTCTATAGGTAATGTTATATCTATGGGATTAATACTAATCCTATGGACAATGCTAAATCTATAGCAAGTCTATTGTACTCATATTAAATCTATGGACAATGATAATCTATTCTTTGAGCATCACCCAAATTGTGGTTAACGTAAAGCATCGCTGTGTGTGAGTTGTTTAACAATATTTAGTTATATTTAAAGCTTCCCGAATAAAATAGCTAACAAAATCACCGGAAATTATATACTATTAGGTTTAGGGGTTATAATAGACCAAAAATATATGTTTTATTTTTCCCGATTTTGGCCTATTTTGAGCAAATTTCCGATTTTAGCATATTTTTTGAGAAAATTCCCGAAAAGTCTATTTTCATAATAAATATTTCCGTAATCAGACATTTTTCGGAGACAATTATTTATTTCATCAAAACTCTGAATAAAATTCAAACTGAATATAACTGTATCTCAAAACTTGTTTTGTAATCCACAAGATTTTGAGATGAAATGTCTTACAAAATATGCATTCATTATCTCCATCGAAGTCTAGCGTTCTTTCTCTCAATTTAAGATTATTCTTACAAATAGAAGGCATTCATTAATTGAAGAAAATCTCATGAATCATGTAATTATCAAATTTAATTCATTTCTAAATGATTTAAATGTATAATTATTGTGTTAACATTCAATAAAAACATAATTCTCGAATTTTTCCGATTTTGACTCTTTTATTCCCTAATTTGGATGTTTTACTCCCGAAAATGGAAGCTTTAGTTATATTTCAATTGTTTCAATTTGTTTAGTCAAATCCCATAGGATTAACATTGCCATAGATTTAGCGCTACTCGTGTTAACCATATGTCATAGACTTAAGCTGTAATCCCATAAAAACCCATGTACAGTACCACTGCACACTCATTTATAGCTACAACTTTGCAATGCAATGCAAATAGGGTAGGTTTTATTTACTCAACAAATTAGTCTATAATTAATTAATACTTTAAATAATAGTAACAATTAAAAAATATTTTCCTTCTAGAAAGTAAGTTCCCATTTTTCTCTTCCGGGATTTTCTCATTTTTTGAGATAAAAAATAAGGGAAAATATATATCTTCCCTTCCGTAATGAACCTTAATCATATTCACGAAATACAGAATTTGAGTTTAAATATTTGCCGATAAGAGTGGTCACTGCGACCGAACCGGCGACCACATCAAGTAAACCATTGGACTCGGGTTTTCATTTGACACCAAATGCCGTGTACTTTACTATTTGACCACTCCTTTCATTTCCATTCAAGTTGGACACAAAAAGTGCATTTCTTGAACTGTGAAGAACTCGAACTAATGAGGCAAAAGTTATAGTCATTTCATGTCTTAATACATGTTTAATGCAATGTTGTGCTAATTGTTGATTCAATGGTAACAATATTTACGATCTAAAGAATCGAAAATATAAGAAATCAAAACATTTTCCAACATTTAGTCTAAATGAGAGCTCAAATAAAGCATAGAAATTGTGATCGTAATTAAATTATACAACATTATCAACAGTGCATGCATTGCGAGGGAGAGGGAGAGCTAATAGGGTTTGTTGGCTGAGGAGAGGCTCTTCGCGTATGAATAGTGAATCTGCGGTCGTTTTGCAATCTTTTTCCCTCTTTTGTTGAGATGTTTCAAAAGTCAATGAATACAACTCTGAATACAACTAAACGCTCCGTTTGTCAGCAAAAGTGTATCAAATTGCGAGCACTCGCTGTGCAACGCCTGCGCGCCTCTTATGCAACACAAACCTTGGTATCTCTGGTATTGCGGACCAAATGAGGTGATTGTCTTCGTTGTTGAAACACTGCGACCACTACTTTGTCGCCATAAATACGTCTAAAATCTTGTGTATGCGCGCCTCTTATGCAACACAAACCTTGGTATCTCTGGTATTGCGGACCAAATGAGGTGATTGTCTTCGTTGTTGAAACACTGCGACCACTACTTTGTCGCCATAAATACGTCTAAAATCTTGTGTTAACTGAAAGACAATTCGTTCAGAGAATAGAAAAACAAAACAACATTTCAATACATTTTGAATCAATTCTGAGACCAAACGCCGCGTTTCTCTTCGCACCGATTCTTCGTATTTCTGGTCACTTAAGATGGCGTCGAAGGACGAGATGTCGAACGAGAAAAGGCCTCGAATTGCAGACAATTTGTTTGATGTCTTTAACTACAAAAACATGTCTTCAATTAAAAAAA